TCGTTTTAATAAAAACGTTTTCTGCTGAAGAATCTAATAATTTCGTTCAATTCAGATTAACACAATCCAGATGGTTAGTTATACAATTTAACAACTAAGTGGACAGATTGCAACACTCGATTGCTATACCATAATTTCATAAGGTTAGTTTAACTCCGAAAATACCGACTTTATTAGTATTGTCAGTATGGGATAGTAGTATTTCATTTGAATCATGAACCCATGTTAGACAACCATTGAGAACCTAAAGGGACTGGATAATCCTTTCGTCCTAGTATAGGACTCGTCAGATGTGCACATCCACGCCTCTGAAAGCGTGAACCGAAACCAAGACCTTCAGTATCGCGTGTGAACACTTGACTTCCAGACCATTGTGTCACTATCAATCAGCGGCAATTTGTAACTTCAGTCAATCCACGATACTGCGCGACCATCTTCAATCGCCTTCTGTGGGTAGCTGCCTCATACCCGTAAACATGACCTATTGGTTGTTGGTATTTGTATTTTCACTTAGAATGAACTAATTTATTGTATCTTTTCTAGTTATTTAAGTACAATGATGTTTACTGATTCGATTATCTTATCTCAAAACATGGGGACTAACGTTTTATTCTCATTTCATTACCTTTGAAAGAGAGCTGTGTAGTAATTGTTCAATCCATTTAATCGCATTAGATCCTTATTGACAATATTCCATCTATTGAATCACCCTTAACACAAAACATATCAAATACTAATAAACTATATTAAGGAGAATTAACCAGAAAATGATTTGAACCAACAGGTTAGTAGTTGAGATTTAAATACATTTAGGCACTAAACTATCACTCCATGGATTAGATTCTCTTAACTGAACTACCCTCATTTCATAATTAATAAGCATGTGAATCATATGGTATTTCTATCACTTTAAACTGATTAATGGAACTTATTTACTGCTGTAAGTGACATCAAATTATTCATGTCATTCAATAACACTAAATATAATTAAATGAATTGTAGTGTCGGTTATTATGTTAAGTCCATATACTTTATTCTAGCTTTCGAACAGCCCATTCTATTCATTCTTCTTGAGTCACGTTCTGACCTCATTATTAATTATTCGCTTATCAATCTTGACAGTTTTTATATGAACGTGTAGATGTGTGTACATTTCTTATCCCATTGCTCATCACATGTCTGTAACTTACTTTTGTGTAATTATAAATATTGATTAACGATTAGTTAAATGGAATTTGGCTTACCCACCACCTCCACTACGCGATTTAAGTCGATGATTATATACGAGGATAGGTGATAACAAACATTGATACGATCTAATTGAAGTCAGATCCACGGGCCACTAAAGTGGAGAGCCCTTTCGACCGCATCGTTCGATCTAAATGACGACAAAATTCAAGGACCTCACTAAAGAATATTATATGTTAACATTAAGAAATGGAAAACTCATATGTTAGCTAAAATAAGATTTTGTGATAGGTTAATAAGTGATGATAGACATACTCAGCCGCTCTAAATATAGAAGATTATCTTACAGGTAAAAACTGACTTCTCTGTGAACTCTAACCGTATTTCACTCTGCGTTGACAGCTTATAATTTATAAACTGTTGTTTGGTCTAATCTAGTTCTTAATCAAGAAGTTGGATAACTGAAACAAGTATGCCACATGACCGAGTATAATTTGATTGAGCCCCTGGGCTATTTAATTCAACATCTAGTACTCAGTGAAAACAATAATACTAATTGTTAAGCTTGTGTTATCTAACTACATTCACTACCTTTCCAATCCTCTTTGTATATTACATTATACTACTTACTAATCATTAAGTAACCAGCTTTAATTCTTATAACTTAATTGCATAATATTTTCAAGTACTTATATAAACAGCTAACATTCAGTTTAGTTATTAATGAAGCTGTATCTTCTTAACATTTATAACAGTTCCCAAATTTCGTGTTCTTTCCTTTCATTTTGATAATATATCTCTTAATTTTGACACAGCTATTAGCTGTTGTCGTATTACTTATTTACTTACTTGCGCCTGTTACTCCTAATGGAGCATAGGCCGCCGACCAGCATTCTCCAACCCACTCTGTTCTGGGCCTTCTTTTCTAATTCTATCCAACTGTTGTTCATTTTTTTCATTATCTTCATTTCCTGGCATAATGTGTTATTTCGTCTTCCTCTCCTACTTTGGCTTTGAGGATTCCAAGTGAGGGCTTGTCTTGTGACGCAGTTGTGTGCTTTCCTCAATGCGTGTCCTATCCACTTCCAGCGCTTCTTCCTGATTTCTCCCTCCACTGGGATATGGTTTGTTCTCTCCAACAGTTCGTTGTTGCTAATAGTGCCCGGCCAACGGATCCGAAGTATTTTGCGTAGACAAATGGTAATAAACACCTGTATTTTCTGGATGATGGCTTTCGTAGTTGTCCAGGTTTCCGCCCCATACAATAGAACTGTCTTGACATTTGTATTGAAAATCCTGACTTTGGTGTTGTGTTGTCGTATACCTTAGGTTATTTGTTGTTAACAACTTGAAGGAAACACTATTCTCTAACTGGACAAGAACTGGATAGATACAACAGACGTATAACGAATAAAGATTTGCAATGTATTCTATATATTTTTTCATTGTCATGTTTTACACATCACTTAATTGTGTCATCGAAATCTCCGACCATGAGAAATCAATCTTAAACAGTCTTTATTCAAAACAAACAAGTGAAATTAAAGAATATAGAATACAGGATGACAGTCTATGTAAGAGTATAAAACAACTACGATGAATTCTAGTTAGATAAAAAACAGTCTTTGTAAATGAGTATTTGGTGGCCCGAGATCTGACTCCAGTGAGGTCGTTCCTGATTGCTGTTGAGATATATATATCGTCAATCCTCGTATGTAAATACCGACTTAGCATTAGTGAGTAACGGAGTTAAAAAAAGTCAAATACAAAATGGATTTCCCAATATATATATTTTGTACAATCTTTGATTCAGACAAATATCAGAGGATCGAAGAGAAAAGAGCGAAGCGAAATGACGCACAGTGGAGAAGGCATGTGAGCCAACTCCATTTAACCAAGCGTTAATCAATATTTATAGTCACACAAAAATAAGCTACAGACATGTGATGGGCACACATATACGCTTACATAAAAATAGTCAGGATTGGTAAGCGAACAATTAACAAGGTCAAAATATGACTTAAGAAGAATGAATAGATTGGCCAATCCAGAAGCTAGAATAAGGTATATGGGCTTAACGTAGTAAGCGACACTACAAGTACTTGGTGGAAATTAAACATTCGTATCATAAAGATTATGACAGATTTTACATAATTAGTAAATTTATTGAAGTCTTCTACAGGTTATTTTGTCTGTAAATCGAGGAAACAACAATATAAAGTCTGTCCATATAAGCATAGATCATCACCTTTTGTTGAAGTTCTGTAAGGATGTAAACAGTTCTACGAGATTTTGCACACTGTTCCTGGTTAGGGTTTGGGGTTACGACTATAGTTTAGAGTATATAGAGTTAGGAATAAAAATCTTATAGTCAAACGCACATTTCTAGCCATAACACAGTATTAAATATACATCTTAACATCCCCGTTTGTCCGAAGAATGAATAACACACAAATTGATTTGAAACACAATAAACTTACAACTCCCAACATATCGATTTAATCAACAAAGACCAAATTATTTCTCACGAATTTATATTACATAACAACATTTAACTGATTTTCTGTAACATCTTCCTTGTAAATTAATGTGAATTAAGCAGTAATTTTTCTTCAGTGCTAACAAACCTTTGCTTGACTAGTGTTCAATACTTAATTTAAACTATTTGGTTCGAAAGTGGAATGACTTAGCTGAGGATAAACACATACAGTTAGTAGTTAACATCATAGAATGATCTTAGCTAAACAACTACTAAATATCAGGAAGCACTGAATAGCTGTTTCCTTTGAGTATGAGATGTTGTAGCAATGCACATTCACAATCTCCTCCCTATTAAGGATTGAATTCATGACCTTCGTTTTTTGCAAATAAACGCATAATCTCTAGACTACTGGGTCAGCATTTATTGGTTTAACTGTTCTTAAGTTCATTTTATCTGACGCTTTGATTTGAACATTTTGGTTGCTCGTTATACACTTTTATTCTAACTAGTATAGTGGAAAAACACCCAAGTTTATTTCAAAATATTCTTGAATCTAAATTGTGTTTTCTTATAATTTCGATTGATGTATGTTGTTAGTTACTGTATAGCATGCGTACAAAGTTGACATGATACACAACAAAATCAGTCTCAATAAGAGTTGACATGAAGAAGACTGAATACCAAAAGAGCAAATATCCATTCTAACTCTGGACAATTTAGATTGCCTTCAGATTCTCTTCACTCTTTTATATAAACATTCAACATCAAAAACAAACCTTATACATCCACCCACTCCATAAAAATGTTAGTTACACTACAAGCTATATTTATTTAAACACATAAACATTGATACAAGGAGGCACCAAATATATATGGGGCACGCTTTGTCATTCGATTTGTTTGGGGGATGGAATACTGTCCGGATGTCCAAACTAAAGTAGGTGGTTTTCTTAGGAGGCCACACTCGGAGCCTCTGACCTAAAGGTCTAATCCACAAGGTAATGGAATAGTCCCATGGTAGCCGGTAACCAACAATAAGGTCATACGCCAGGATCCTGGATCCCATGTGCACTATTGGTTTGTAATCAGGGTTTTCCAATCCCCTAAGTAGATCTTCTATATCCACCAACTCGGTTAAAGCGCTGGACATTCGCTTTCGTTCTCTCAATCTCATAAACGACTATCCGGTTTCTTGAAGGCAGTGAGTAGAACCTTCATGGGAGTGGCTGTATACACGTGGTTATATGAGAGTATTTTGAGAGAGCTGACTCTCCCTAACCTAGACAGTATCAGGGCATTTTGGGGCATACTATAAACTAAGAACAAATAATTATTCAAATAAGTTTATTTTACACTACAATATTCTCCTCAAAATACGGAAAACTTCCCAAATATAAACCAAGAGCTAATTGTCTACCACGTAAACAATATGTTTCAATATGTACATTAAGATATTGTTTACAAGAACAACAATCAGCAATATATTCACAAGTCCCTTGGTTATCACCTATTGGCCAACTCATTTGAATCAACTGACCAATAGACGAATTTCTTGGTAGATATATTAAAATTTTGTTACAAATATGTCTTGAAATATTTAATGCTTTATTAAGAAAGAGAATATCTTCAAGATTTTTTATAGGTTCCATTTCTTTCAAATCATATAACCAATGTTTCCGTTTACGTTGATTCCAACTAGACGAGCCAGGTGGAAAAATGTTCCCAATGTAATCAGGACCACCCCAAGGTGGTGACATGAATATGATATCGATAAGTGAGTTAAATGTAGAATTAGTTGGCTTCTCTAAAGTTCCATTTTCATTCAACTCTGGGTTCACTTCTAATGTGGTCTCTGTATTAGCTAATAAATGTGATGATGAACTCTGATGTTCAGATAGATTGAAGTCGGATTTCAAAATATTATCATCTATATTAATCGATGTTTCGGACGAAAAATCCGCAGATTGTTCATTATTTCCAGATAATAATGTACTTCGGTTATTCTCAGGTGAACGTATAGAAGTTACTTTCAAGTGATCACTTTCACATTGATTTTCTAAAGTTCGCACGCTTGTATCATCATTATCAGTTGTAAAACTTGTAGACGACAATCGAACAATTCTTAAACTACTTAAAATTTTTTCAACGTCTCCACAAACAAGCATAATGTTTGACAAAACACCATATATTTGTGCATTAATTTGGAGCATTAATAATCGTGGGAAACAGTTTTCAATGGCTAAAACTAGAATTGAACGAAAACGAAATAAATGAAGTTTCAGGGCAACTTAAAGCAATGACGGGGTTGAACTTTACAAAGTCACATATATGATATCAAGTAATACTGTAGCTCGTTAAGTAGGATAGAACATGCATACTCAATAGTGTTTTGGTTTTTCCTTTAAATTTTTGATAAGTATTGTTTGACAAAATATTAATTCACCTTGTTTGATCATACATACAGTGGCCAATCGTAGAAATCAAATATGGAGTGATAGTTAGGAATATAGTACTTGAATAAATTATAAATTCGTTGAGATAAGTATTACGTTTTGATTATGCTTGTCATATGTCTTATTTGTAGACCGGTGCTAGTTTAGGAAGTGATAAGATTATAATACTAGATTATGTGATACGAATAATAACAATAGATTTAGTGAACATAATAAGATGATTAAAATGATGATTAAAAGAACCCAGCTTGGTTCTATAAAGGTGAAAGGAAAGAAGTTAGGAGTTCTATACTTGAACACCTAATCGACTGTAACCATTCTACAGATCTATAATTTTATTTTAAGGTTGTTTATATGATTCGTTCAAGTCTACCCAAATGTCTTCGTATCCAACTCCTAAAATTAGCGGAAGCTCTTACCATCCACGAGTTTAAGCAAGAACTATGTGTACAAAATAAATACGTCTTATCGTTACCTTGGTCTTAACTATTTTGATTATATTATTATTATTATTATTACTGCATTCTCCCTTTACTTATGTCTTATATTCTCATTGTTTTATTCGTAAATACTCATCATATCACCTTATTCATTTTCACACCTCTATGGCCTTTAATTATTATAACAAAAACATTTTAATCATCTTATTATATTGACTAAATCTATTGTTATTATTCGTATTACGTAATCTAGTATTATAACCTTTTTATTAACTGTGTTCACATTTCCTCACGGAATTAGTACTTTTACCAAATTTTCATATATATACGATTGTACAGCATGATAATAGATTCGTTAAAAAGAGATTCCTTGCCTGAACTTCATGTTTTTAATTTTTAATGTTTAAATGAGAAGTATCTGTCAGAAGTGATAAGAAGCAAAATGAACTTTATCAGTCCACCAGGGTTGTTGGTACCTGCCTGTATGGTTGCAACATCTGATTGAGCTGTGCTATTCGGGATGTAAAGACCCTGGATGGCATCTGATTATTCTGAAATCTTCTGTAAAGTCGTTCGATTGTCCGGTGGCCTAACCACGAATGGGACTTGGTTGGGTAATTTTACTCACTCTGTTAGTGTGGTATGGAAATCTGAACCGATACACATGACTGACTGATACTAACCAAACTTTATTACTTGGCGAAAATCGGAAACAGCGTACAAAATCCTACCTAGAATGTGTATTATCCAGAGCCGGACAGATCAACTACTAAGTGGGATATGAACTAATAACATAAAAGACTGGTGATAGAATACTTAAAACATTCTGATCGGAAATCAAAAAAATATATATTCCGGCTATACAATTAAGAACAACAGTTGGTTTGAGTTGTAGAAAAAAGGTCGATCCTGTTTTTTTGTGCAAAAAGCTAGAACCGAAAATCTGTATAGTCTTGTTTCACAATTTCAAAATGCGAACCGACTGGATCTTCAACATAATTTGTCAGTGATAGATAAAATTAGATAGTTAACTGTGCAGAAGCAAAACTAGTTGCATCCTGATAAAATACTTTGGTAGTAATTCGGCCTCGTATACTTGTCATTTCGGTTATCTACATAGTCATAGATTTTCACTGAAGTGGTTCAGTTTTGAAAAGACCTCTGACCATGAATACAGTGAATTAAACTGAACATAGACTAAGTAGGATTGGGAGGTCAAAAATTCTATATATAAATTTGTATAGGTTTTAATCAACCAAATTTATCGTTTGGTACTGGTCAGTGACAGATACCATCACTAGAAAATTGATTGATATACATAGTTCAATGGACTGGATATCATTTTACACATCGCTGTATGTAATTTACAATTATCCTAGTGTTGGCTCGAAATTTGTATACAAGATTAGTTCTTTGAAATAAATAAAAAGACTGTACAAATATGATTACTTAGTTAACCATCCGCTCTTTTCAGCCGAAACATTCAGCGAATGAAATTAACAAATGCTCAACTGGAATAAACCTCTATAATGTATTATAAACCGAAAAGAACCTATTTTAGCAATTGGAACCTTTGACTAATGACAGTAAGAACTGCACGGCTAGTTGTATACGTACAATTTACAAAACTAGTGACAAAAAATGAACTTTAGATTGATCACTTACCAAGTTGACAAGTGCGCGCAAACTGTATAGTATTTCCTCCAACACCCGCAAAAGCATCTACGAGTAAATCACACGAACAAGTTTTCGCCTGGTGACGAGCAATAGCTTCTGGTGTTATGCTGTACCATGCTTCTAGTAGAAATTATGTAATAAAGCAGGAAAATACTAACTTAATCCTCACTTCGGAAATGAACGTACAATGAATTTGATTTAGAATCCTTCACACTACAGCAGTTTGTCAATAAACAATATTAGACATTTTTAAAGCAGTTATGGCACAGTTCGTTTGCACTCCTATAAAAATACAACCGCTAAATCCTACGTATAGATATCCCTCGAAACATGTGGGCGTTAGTGTATAAGTTGAGTTTATGATAATATTCGTTTTCTCCACTAGTATTTATCATGGTCAGACGGGGAATATGGTCCAGATGACCTTAATTAAGACTAATCTAAAAGCAGATTGGAAGGTAGACATTTCTCAGTATTTTTTCTAAACCTATGAAATAAATGAAATAAAAAATGCCAACGGTAAGTTACGTCTTACCCTATGTTGGTTGGGACTGGCCTAATGTTTTTTAGGTAGAACTAACTGTCCAATGATACTTCTTTTCATCCACTAGAATGTTCAGTATCTGGTTATTTCGACAGAAGCATAACAGTAAGCAAGAATATACTTTCCTGACTAGACGTACATTCAGAAGTGATCGTTACAGAGATGAATGATTCTGCATAAGTTAGGCTTCCTATACTAATGAAAAAATTTAACACAGCTGTCTTAGATCTAAGAGACTACATTATTCATTTCCTTGGTGACCGAAAACACAAAACAACTTACCTTCGTCGAGCTGAACACCTTCATCAAACCGTTCAAAAGATCGTATCTCCGCTTCCAGTATTTTGGTAATACTTTATTGCTATTATAAAGGACTCTGGCACTATAAAGTAATGTCAGAAAACTATAGTACCATACACCTTGTTTCTTTTTCTCAAAACTTCTGTCAAACTGACAGGTGCGAAACGTTGAGATGGAACTGCTATTTCATCATCCGAACTACTAACTTTATTTTTATTAATTTCATTTTCATCATCACTGGATGAAACATCCGATAGCGAGTCGATAACACCTCGCGAATGTAACGCAAACATCGATAAACGTACGATGCTCAATCCTCAAACATCGAACTTCGTTGCGCAGAAGAAGATAATTTTATTTACCTTGAAATCTAATTTACATCATGTTCGATCAAAACCTAAACGATAAAAACAGTTTATTATGGAAGAAGAGAAAATGAAGTGACATTTATAGTAGTATACCTCGATATCTTGGAGTTTCTTTGAAATAAAGAGCGGAAGATCTTATTACTATTGTTTTCTGCAGAGAATTATATTGCTTATCGACTCGACCTCAGATTTGTACTCTGGGGGACAGAAACCGAGAAATTTAGTACCTTTGGTTACCTCTAACTGAATGGCTTTATTGAATGAATTTAAAAATGAAAACTATCCGTTTATTTCAGTAAATCGTACTAGGGCTAACTCATTGTATAATGACGGTAGTGGAGGCTAGACCCTGTAGCGGTAAATAAATTCTCAAAATAAATAGCTCCGTAAGTTTTCAATATTGGATGCTGACCACATTAGTTTTAATGGACTTGCCTAGCTGAAGGCGCTCGGTCATGTATCCGCACCAGATCACGAATGGGAACGCCGTGCTCAACATCTACTGCAATCGCTAGCCAAATCAGATCAGACGATCCTCGATATATTGATGGCCTATCAAATATATCTTCGAACCTCCTCACTTTGTCTCTTGATGTCACTTGGTGGGTACGATACATATTAGGTGTTACTGGTTAAAGCGTTGTCAAACTCCGAATAGCTGTGACATCTTCAACCCGATGGCACTGGTCCCTTATCAAATCAGTCGGAACACTAAACGTCGAACAATCCACCCATCTTTGTCAAGTTCAAGGATAGCTAATACCTATGATTGGATTACACGCCATGGACAGGCCAATAAGGTGGTGGTTGCAGTATATTCATTGCGTCCACTTTCACTAATATATTTCCGTAATAACGTACTTTGTGTTATACGGTCTTCAAAGCATCAATAGTAACTTGATACTGTAGTGGTTTTGCCCGTTAATCAATCACCTTGATAACTGTTATAATATAGATCTCAATGGTGTTTGAAATCAGAAGGCAGTGGGAAGCGGCAACTACAGTTTATCATCGGATAGCATAGATCACAAAGATATAAGCACATCAAGCAACTTTGAAGCAGAGAGGTGAATGTGCGTATGCGAGCAAATACAGAGAAAAATTTGTAGTAAAATCGCAAAAGAGCACAGTAATGCAAAACAAAGGCTAATAATAGTATTAGAGTACATGTATACATGAGGGAGAGAAAGAACTATCGAGCGGTGTTTAAGCTACCAACATTTTAGCTAGAGTCTGTCATGTGATCAAGCGTACATGTTTATACAAATATAATAGGGATCATAATAGTACAAAGAACGATACGAATTATTACTGTTCAGGTAACACTGTCAAGTAAGTTATTCAAAGTCTCCAGTTTTTACATTCGTTGGTTATGAACTAATGAATTTAAATCAATGTACACCTCAGGGTGACGAAACCCCAGGAAAGTACCAATATTTTGTTGTAGATTCATTGAACTCACCCTTCAACATTTTCAAAATAGTTGTGAAATTGACTAAAGGATCTTTAATTAACGAGGGTCTTGACATCAGAAGTTGCACATGGACATACATTAGGTCCGCTGATGACCTAATAAATAGAAATATCTCAGCGACCGTCATATACACTGACGACGTAAAGATATGGAAGTCCATAAGAAGCGAAAAGGACATCACAAAAAGCAGCGAAACGAGTGATTGACACAGCTTAAATTTTTCATACCAAGATGTAATGTTACCACAGGGTACAGATAATCCTCTTTTGATTATCTCCACAGAAAGCGATCTAGGTCTTTTAACAACAGAGAACCTAGATATTAGCGTAAACTCCACTGGGGAATCAAACAAAATACATTTGAATCGTCATTTTTAGTGAAGACAGCATGATGCCAACAGTTTATAATGTGTGGCGAATTCTAGTGGCTACGTGAATTGTTTCGTCAGATTAACGGCCCAACAGTTCCCTTTCTAGATAGAACGATTTTAGCCTATCAATACTTATTGTGTCTGCAAAATGTAATCGATAGACGAACTCACCAATAATAAAGGGAAACGCCCACCACCACATTAACTCCCCTTGACGTTGTACTACTGTATCTCTTTATTAACCAATCACAGTTTGATGTTCATTGTAAAACAATATTTGCTTGTTGACTCATTTTTCCTATTCTCTGGCTACTGTTCGGTATGTTACTTGTCTGTTTTTTCCCTGTATTAATAGACCGTACAGTTTGTTTGTACACTAACGATGTTAATTTATGTTCTAGAAGCAGATAAAGTTTATCTAGCCAAATAGCTTGCTTGTTCTGACTTTGGCCAAACCAAGACTCTGTATTCGACGGACTAGAGAATAGCTCAGAATTAAACCTGTAGGAAATTGCTCCCTACATTGTCTGTGGTTCCATGTAGGCCTCGAGTGTTCGCGAGTATTCAATGCTTTGAACCTAGACATTTTGTCTCGTGATTGATCGACGTAACCTGAAAAGTCGAGTCTTAAACTTTCAATACAAGGAATAATAAACTTACATTGCAGCCAGTTCTGCTACCGAACACTGTGAGTCAGGTTTGTTAGCTGGTTTCAATCTTAACATGAGTAATGTCTGTAATCCTCTCCCTCGAGTGTGTTTTGAGTATTATACTAGTGCGGCTTTTAATTGACAATTTGGACGTTCCATCAGCCTACTAAACTGATGTTAGTGCTGTGTGAAACCTATTCTGCAAGCTTCCAGATATTTTGCTAAGCTGCTGAACTTCCAGTCACCTGTTGATGTGATAAGCGTACCATAAATGGTCACCCAGTTCTGAATGAAACGTTTTGACACAGTTTCAGTTATGATGTTAGTTAGTGGTGACGTTACTAAAAGCCTCATGAGTCTGTTTAAATGTAAATACCAAATTAAACGATAAGATACTGGCTAAGGACCAACTTAATGTACACGAACGTCGACAAAATGTGCGTCAGGCTATCAGAAAACTCTGATCAGCGAACTCGTCCGACGATCAGCCACTAACTGTTGGCACGTCGAACACTCTTCAAACCATTTTTATGATTTTCCCGAAAATTTTCAGTGTATGAACATATTTGGTTAATTATAGCTTTTGCTTAAGGACGAGATGTAGCGTGAAAATTGCTGAATATTAATTTCCCCATATTTTTTGGGACAAAGAGTCAAGGTATTTCTCTGGAAGTATAACGTTTACAGTATCCTATCTCTGACAGAACGAGTCATTTTGAGATGAAGACCAGTTGCAAACTAAAGAACTTCGTAATAAGAAATAACTGTTAGGGTTAATTCAGATACGCGCGTTATCGCCCAGTAAAAATCTAAATTATATTGAATGACTTAATGCCGGTGTAACGACCGAACTGCCAGTATTCCGTTTGAACGCAGGACTGACAAAACAAAACGTATTCGGATAGGCTAGACTACGTTCTTCTGTATAGCGTACGAAGCATTTTTGAGTTAGATTATATCAAAACACAAACTCCGTGCTCAATTTGAACGGTTAGAATTTAAGAAATAGAACAAATTATATCAGGACAACAAAATACCTCAAACGGTACAGCCTGTGTTGTACAGTCAGAAGTCTCTCTTACTTAAAGTAGCGCACTGAACAATAAAAGAAACCGTTAATACCAAAGGGTTTGATGCCTGAGAATCAATAAGACAATTCCCAAAAATATGAGAACACATATCTATCTGCAGGGATTCCAACAATCCTACCAAACAGTCAGTCAAAAGGTTAACAGTCGCACGCTAAATCACTCTGTGACCTTGAGCTTAGCCAAACACGATCTTACTGCCAATAGTCCGGCAAAATGCAATTGAAAGTTAGGTAACAAAAGATAAGTCCTTAATCAAAATCACGTAATAAAAGCTTAGACGAGAAGGACTGAAGAACAAATGGTGTGGTTAAACGAGATCTGATCAAAGGTCAAAATACACGACAGGGAGAAGAAACAAATAAACGACAGTGCTGTCCAGCAAAAGGGCTGTGGAGGGATTTTCATTGTTCTCTTTCATTTACAGCCGGTTTCAAATTTCGTTATAAATTTAAATAAACAGAATACGCACATTATGACATTAAGTAAGAAAGGAAGATTAGTTCAGCGAAGAGTTCTCTTTTCGGCGAATTCATTTTCAAAGCTGTACAATCGCAAATATATATACTTATTTTTACAGGGTTATACTAATATTGATAATAAACTTATGTTGTACATGGCGAGAGTGAGATTAAATAAACAAAGGCAAAAAATTTTCAAACAAGCAAAGCTTAATAATCGTTTGATAGTTAATGGCTGTAGTATTCATTGGGTAAGGATGGCTCAGCATGATAAAATAAAATGTTGAAACAGAGATGAAATGTGATCAGAATGATCGTGGAAATAAAAACAAACCGATTGTACAGCTTCGAAGATGAACTCGCTGAAAAGAGAACTCTTCGCTGAACTAATCTTTCTTTCTTATAAATTTAAATGTTGATTAGCAACTTAACAAACATCACCACCCAGTTATTTAGGAATTATTTGCTCAACTAATAGTAATATCTAAATTAAGTTCAGAAGATAAATTGATAAAGGATATAAGGTTATCTTCAAATGCAACAAGATGATATCAAGTTCCAATAAAATATCAGTAGCAATATGTTTGCAGTTCTGCGAGAAGGCTTCAACTCACAGTCTAATATACATTTGCGAGTCAGTTTAAACAACACGGCCAAGCAGGTAAACGGCAGAATATGGTGGCCGCCACTACCAAATTTCAAGTGCCACAAAGTAAACGGAGTCCAGGAAAAGCGCAGATTCAGTGAAAACGTGCGAAAAACAAAAATGTTCAGTACTTCTGAGGAACAAATTTCGACTGGGGACAAAATAACATATTACATGTGGATAAAAATGAGTTACACATAATGACTAAAAGTGCTAGGTTAATCCATGCCATACTGATCACTTTCGACCCTCTCCAAGTGTTACATGTGGATTGTAAATCTCAGTAATTATTTGCATGGCTTAAAAAATCGTATGGTTTAGATATAGTGTCACTGCAAAAACCGATCAACGGTTGCAATGACCATATGTAATTGGCTGTGAATTGGCAATAAAAGTTCATTAAGCCTGGAAACACTTCTGATTTGTGGTAAAGAACCTAGTTTGAGTTATTTTCTAATGGAGCCCAACTCTTTATATCGGTTTAATCCATTCTGAGTTCATTGTGTGCCCGATAATTTCTAAAGTTTGAACCCCCAAAACACTTTCATTAACTTATGGTCATTTCGCTTTCATTCAGCTGTTTTGAAACTGCTCTCGCGTGTTGGTAATTTGATGTTAAACCATAACATATCCACGAAATATATCCAGCTTGGTACAATTACGTTTTTTTATCCACATCGTTTACCTTCCGTTTTTACATATTAGTTTATTCACTCTTCACTACTAGTCAGCTTATTTACTTAAGTGTTCAGACAACTGTCTTCTCTTGGATCTTCTGTATTTAATATTTTTTAGACATTCTTTTACCCACGTAATCACTCCCCTGATGATGAAATGGCTGTTTGTTACAGAGACTCTACAAGCTTGAGATAAATCCACTCAGACTACAAGATTATAAACGTCCCAAATAACTTCTGAACTGACTTATACTAGTGCAGTCTATTGGTTGAAATACCACCCAGTGGACATCAAAAAAGACTTTGGAGCCGTACCTAAACAACAAAAAGAGTGTGCAAAGTAGTAAACCGGTTCTTACAAGCCCTCTACAACGATATTAGATATCAGGAATTATAACCATATTCTAAACTCCATAAGTGGTTTAAGTTTCTCAGCCACATTGAAATAATTCAAGATTGTCATAAACCACAGCCTCGTGACAATATCAATAAAGCTCGGAGCGATTTGCCGAGACTTCAGGTCTGTTATATTGCTTGCATTTAAGTGTTATAATGAATATGTACATTCTCAAATGACCCTTGTGGAAATTTGAAATCTATATTTGACCTTGGCCCGTGATCAAAATGCGTCGGAGACTTCTATCTGAGTCCCAAGTTGATAAGGAATACTTTAACTCCCTGATTGAACAACAAAAAGTTGATGACATCACGATTGGTGTTTTCTATCGATCTCGTACATTGACCGTACTAGTTATCATCTGGTTGTGTTTGGCTTACTTCGCTTTTTCAAGGTACTTCGTTTGTTAATTTAAATTTGAAATTAAGGTCCCCTACACAACCACTGCAGTATAATTTATATCATGCATTTATGGCTGTATGTGTTATATTTTTACTGATATCGGTGATGATAATGCCTAATGGTACGTTTACTAGAATTTCCAAACTGTTTACATGGAATTTTTTTGTTTTCTTGCTGAATCAAGTTCCGTATATGGAATCTGTTGAGGCGTTCGGTTTAAAATAGCATTAGCTTCAATCTGATTAGTCCGTCCATAAATTATAGTTTCACTAAATTATCTTCAAATCTAATTTCAAGGCATGCATAGTGTAATATCAACCATTCTCTCATACATATATGATATTAATAGTATGCCTTAGTTTGCGTCAAGCTATCTAAAAGTATACATTTTTTGGACGTCTATAGTGCGACATAACGTACTGTTAAATCTTATCCGAAATACTGTAATTGGTGGATCTAACCAACGGGCTAAGAAACTAGCCACCCAAGATTTCTAAAGTTTTGCTTGAAACAGGTTACTCATAACGTGGTTCTTTTTTAGCACCAGGTGTCCTAAATAATATTTACTTTTTAACTTGGTTCTATATGTCAATTCAATGGTACGTAAGGAAATATACACTGGTCGTTACAATGATAATAGAACAGGGATCATGAGTATTTAGCAACTTAAAAATGAGTAATACTTTCTTCATATACAGTACTAACACTGAACGCGGATTCTCCGGTCGTTGGAGGACATGGTTTTTCCTTTATATTTCAAAGGCTGGTTTCTGCAGATCATTAAAATTCTAAAGAAATTTAACCAAACAACTCAACACAGGTAATAAACCTGGGTTTCTCCGTAATAGTTCATCTCAAACTCAATTATATGCCGTTCCTTTTGTATCATATTTAACTTTCATTCGACTCATCAGAATGTTACACCACTGGTTGTTGTTGCTAATGCAACTATATGTTTTTTATAGTTTTCCCTATCTTATATTTTGTAAACAAATGCTTTTAATGAGTGTATCCGTTTATCGTGATAAACAGTGTTCATCCATACTAATAAAAACAAACTTTCAAATTCATTCTAGGCCCATTTATTCGACCACATCCAGCCCTATGGAGGATGGTTTTTGGTGCTAGTTTACTATATTTTTTATGTTTAGTTGCAGTCGTGTTTCTTCGTCTAGATGAAGCTCGCGCCATTTTGATTTGGGTATATCCTGAACTGAAACATATGCGTCACTCTGATATTCTTGATAAAGAGTATGCCGTTAATTGTAGTCAGGTTTGTTATTTATTTGTAAACGGAATTATTTAAATAATACCTCCTTACATAAGTATTCACTCACGCTTTATGTCTTCTACAATTTTGTGGTTTAGAAATTCACTTATATTTTTTTCAGAATTCTCAGTTAATTTGGGTAAATCAGTGTAGAAAATACTCACAACTATACGTACTCTGTCACTCACATATTTATTATGTGTTAACTTCCCAGCTTCAGAAATTCTTTGATGTATTTTAATTCAACACCATTTAGTTTTGTTTGTTTGATTTATTAGTAATGCAGTTCGATTGTTGGTCACCCAACTACTGGTTTTCAGTCTTTTTAATTATTTTGAACTCTTAATTATTTTTTGAGCGTCATAGATTCTATTTTAGGTTTAAACGGTAGAGATTGCAGCAAATGTCTTAAAACTCCACTTCTTTGATTAGCTGAATCAGTAATAGTAAAAGTCAAGTCGTGGAAAACAACCAAGGTTTGCACTAGTTCACCACTCCTTATTCTTCTATAATTGAGGATGAAATTCATTTTTCCTGTCTAATTTAATCCAAATGATTTATTTTCGTGGAAGTTGTTTACTATAGTGTCTGTGTCCTTTACACCCAACCCTTACTCTGATTTTGGTTTAGTGTTTGAGTAGCATGATAACTGAGCATTATGTTTAGCGTTCGACTCTCAACTTATAGATCACAGTTCTAAACTCTATTCCACCTACTCTCATTTGGGTAGAAAGGCAGGTAATATCTTTAGCTGTTGCACATGGAGTAGAGCCGGATGTATGGATGTGCACTGGGTAAACAAATAAGATTTATAACACCTTCAGGACCATAAATTATGTACTACCTAGTGTCCCTGACCCATCTTTACAATGGCTGTTTAATATAATCTTTTAACTTGCAGTTCTATGACGCCGATTAATCTGTGAAAGAATATAAAGTCATAGTCAGCCTAGAATTTAGCACAAGTATGCGTCAGAACAAACTATCACATTAAAAAACATCATTTTAGTAAAGATTACACAGATACATTGCTTTACTAACCATATTGCTCTATTAAATAAGGTTCTTTAGTAATTGGTCACAAGCATTAAGCGTAGCTAAAATTTCTAAAGATTATTTATGTATATTCTTTTCTATCCTCTTAAGTATTTCGTTTTCCGACTAAAGATGTCTCTTTTTCTCAACCCAACTGTTTATAATTATTATTTTGCTACTTCAAGATATCACTTGCTCGAGTTTATTCTCATATGGATATCTTTGCATTGGCACATTTTCTTGGTTGGCTTATTAAAGCAACTCTATTAAGACATCATATTATTGCGTGGACTTTGTCGATCAATTGGGAAATAACCGAAGTAAGTAGCTTAATGATTGAAATATTTTTATTTTTAAATATGCTCGTATATCGTGGGACCATCGAGTAAGTAATGCAATTGTTAGGAAACGGGTACTAGGTAAGGATGGCAAATCAATTGATGATGTAGTGAAACTTCATCAGTCAAGATGGCTTAAACACTTGTTACGTATGCCCAACGACCGACTGCCTCGACCTGGGATGTTCAGTGGTATAGGAGTAGGTTGGAAGAAAGCTAGGAGCGGCCAGACCAAAACATGGCACAAGTCCATGAAGTCACTGACAAATGGTCTGAGTCATGTCGATGGGTGTACACTACCTGGTTGGGGACCGCGAGATGATAGCAACCGATGGTTAGAGACCCTGAATGACATGGCTCAAAATCTTTAGCAATGGCGCAGGTGCATACACTTTGTGTGCTCCCAAATTTTGATCTCCATATTCCTCCTTGTCTCTTTTTTTTCTCCTCAATTTATTTCACTGTATTATACCCTTTAAGTAACATCTTCAAACACTAATCTTCCCGATTACTGCTTATACTCTTATTACCTCTACCACTACGGTATTTGAATCGACCACTGCATCTCTGTGCTAATGTGGTGTGGCAACTCGAACTGATGTACGTACATACGAAGTTCTACGTTGTTACTGACTGACTACTAATTTTTAAATATTAAATTTAACAAATTCACTGAGATATTCAATATTTGGAAGTGGTAGATAGGAAATCATGGACTCAAGTTTTCCTACGAGCTATCATATGTCAACAACGTTTTCCTTTGATATTCAGGGGATTGATCCTCTCTGTGTAATTCAAATGAGTGCCAACTAACACGAAACTTAGGCTTAGAGTTTCTTTCTGACTACTTCCAACTACTTATCATCTCAACAAAGTACATTTTATGTTGAGTTGCCTAGACCAGTGACAACACTGAAATGGGATTGGTAGAAATCGATAAACAATAGGGATTAAACAAACAAGACATTGAATACTTATCGGTGATCAATCAATGTTATTCGTTATATTGACCTATCCTTATAAGAACTTGAAAGTTAAGGGAGGCTACCGTTGTTGATTAGTCTCGAACTAGGATGAATGTATACAAAGTTTTCACAAAACCATCTCACGTAGAATTATTTGCTATTATTTGGAACAATTTATTGTGATGCTACAACCTAAAGTTGTAACATTATTCCCAGAAACTACAATATGACAAGATGAAAAATAAGAGAGAGCAAATAATTTGTAGATACTTTAATCCTAGTGCATAAAAGTATACTACCACTATATGACACAGTTATCTGATTGCGCTACTAATATATACGCCTCCTGTATGTGGGTCCGACGTGCTGTCTAAATGAGAAAACTCAGAGTTATTAGAAATCTATCATTGACCAGCTGAGTTGAGAATGCATGCACACTCATTTGTAAACAAAGTTCCTTTTCCTTTGGAAAACAAAGCCTCATTTTCAACCATTGGTGTGCGCCCATCATCATAATCTTTTCACTGCTCGTTTTGCTTATATCTGATTGGTCCATTGTATCACCTTCCCTTCATGAAAAATAAGTTTTCTTTTGTGGACTAAACTACATGAATTGAGGCGAGGATACATCGGTTACGCACATCAATTTAATTAGTAAAATAAGTCCAGTGTTCAATGGTCCTTCAGATGATCTTTGCGTCATCTGTCAAATCCACACCTATATACGTGTTCTTATAAAGCTGTTAAAGAATTGTTTTCATTTTTTAAATAGATGGCGATCAGAAAATTAATTTGGCACGTTTTAGTAACCATTAATGATAAGTTTGAGTACAGCTTTAGATTTAACTCAGTCACAACGTAGGACCAGGCACATATATGCATCGGCCCAAGTTGCCATACCTCGTTAGCACAACGAGATGAACACCAAATTCATAGAAGTAGTTACTTCAATGGTAGTAATATATAAAAGAAATATTGTGTATAAGGATACAATACAGGTAGAAAGAACGGTAGAAAGAAAGGTATAAAGCGGTTTCGATCTCACGGTTTAAGGGAAGATAGTGTATACACCTACGCCATTGTGATCGATTCTGAGCCATGTCACGTGGACCCAACCAAGTAGTCTGCATCTGCGAATATGGCTCAGACTAAAGTTAGTGGTTTCAAGGACTGATGCTAGATTTAAATTCTTAACTATCTGTTCTGTTTTTTTTTCAGCTGTAGTGATCGAAGCATTCAGATTTCTTAACTGGTAGATTACAGCTGTTCAAACACATTTTTCCCTACCTAACTTGATTTGACTAAGTCGAGTGGTATCACTCTAATCGCCATGCATAAACAGTTTGACTTAAAGCAGTTGAGTACATTAACTTGTACACTGAATAAGTGGTTTATAGTTAATCATATTATAAGCTTTATATATTATTGTAGTGTAAAAGAAAGACATCATTATATCATTTAGGTATCTAGGATTTATCTGGTCACAAACTATTCTGTATATAAATGTAATTATTCAATAATACTCGATAACAGGTAGGATGACGTTTAAACCTGCAATCTAGCAGTTGGTAATTACCGATTGAGTGATGTACGTAGAAAGATTTCAGATGGTGAATAACAGTTTCGATGGCATAAAAAAAGGTAATGTAATTTATCACACTCCATTCAGTAAAGATCACTTCTTGATGACTTCTAAAACAATTGAGTCCAATACTCAATCCAAAATCATTTGGTACAAAATAACAGGAAATCTCATTGCTTATTATAACTATTAGAAAAAAAACAATTATTGGAGCATAAAAAAACCTACATCGTGAAGGAACTCTTTGAACAATCAGTCAGTTACTTTATGACTTACTCGTAGCACATTTCTACCGATTAAACTGTCAGTCAAGTTTCTGACACATTACTTCAATTACTATTAATTAAAAATATTATTCGACTGAGCGATAAGTCATTAGTTATGGTGTTCACTAAGTCACCGGTCCTCGAACTCGACTAAGCCTTCGGTTTTTTTTGGCGATCAGGTCCTCACAATTAGAATTCGAGTACACTTATTTTATTTATTTATTTTAACACATAGATAGTGGTACAAGGAGGCACCAAATACATATGCATCACACAAATCTCATTTGATATGAGTGAGGGATGTGATACTACCCGGGTGCCCAAACCAAAGCAAGTGGTTTTCTTAGGAGGCCACTCCATGACCCTTCGACCTGAAGGTCTGATCCACAAGGCAGTGGGCATCGTAAGGAGATGCAGTCCTATGGAAGCTGGTGGCCAATAATTAATTCATACGCCGTTTGTTCCCGCAGGATATTGGGGCCCATGTGCACCATTGGGTTGGAATCCGGTTAAAGCGCCGGACATTCGTTTTTCGTCCTCTCAAGTTCGTAAACAACCTCCGTGGTGCGAGAAGGCAGTGAGTAGGACTTCGCTGTCATAGGCTATATTCGCATGGCCATGTGAGAGCATTTGGAGAGAGAGAGCTGACTCCCCACTCTCGGATGTACCAGGGCATTTGGGGGCAATTCGAGTACACAGATCTGCTTTACCTAGTAGATGACCTTGATGTATGTGCTCAAATATTTTATGTATATCATTTATTTTTTCTTATTCAAGGTAGCTTTTTCACATATTCTACCAAATTTCAATGAATGTTGGTGGGATAGTCTCATCTTAGATATATTAGTCTGTAATGGTTTAGGTATACAATGTGGTATGTGGTTATGTCGTTGGTTAGAAATGCGTGATTATCAATGGGATTCCATTCGTAATATACCAAGTGCACGTGGTAAATTAAAACGTGCATTTTACAGTTCACACCACGCAGGTAATTACTGTTTTTTCTCTGTTCAAAAATATTAATATTTGAAGAAGGATGAATGATGAATACAGGTAGCTTTGTCACTGCAATGGACTTTGAGCCCGACGTTTGTAACGGCAAAATACAGTGATTACACGGGTCCTTCAACTTGTGATTTTTTATATGATCGTCTAATTCAGACACATATTTCTTATACATCAAGCTCACCTGCTTTATGATTGAGAGAAGACCTAAAAATAACTAGGAGCAGTAACTGATAAACCGAATAACTAGGTACACAAATCATTTGTATATACACATTCCTCCTCTAACCCGGTCAAGTTCATATAAGCTTAGACATAAATTAGGTGGCGTAACTGCTTCCTCTAATAGAGTGCCTTGTTTGATACTGAAACGTCTTGGGACACATAAACATGATTTGTTTTTGTACTCTCTTAGTTCATCATTTTCCACTCAAAGATATATCTTGGAACAGTCTTCATTGGTTTCATGCATCGATACAAATGCCATCCTCTTATTATCAGTGTTCTCATTGGGTTAAATAAGCATTATCTAATCACTTGACGTCTGCTCTGTTTTGAGGTGAAGTGATCTACGAATAAGATAACAAAAGTAAACAAAACTTATTTACCATTGTAATTGTGATGAACACTCTCCTAGCACCAAATATCATGATTCAACCAATCAGTTTTGAGCAATGTTAGGACGTAGCAGCACTATGAGTAATGTACAAGGCTAACTTTCTCTTCTCTTTCTTAATGCATCCTGTTACATAAATAAAGGTTGAATTTTTTCTATACTCTCAAGAAGTAGCTTACGTTTAATCACAAAGCATCAAAAATACAATTTTCCTACTCAGTGGGATATAACAAAAATATATTTATTATGCTGAATATGATAGTCTGGCGGAGTCACCTAGACTAGTGGCCATATTGCAACTTGGTCGATAGCATTCGATCTGCACTAAGAAGGAATTGTCACACATGGCATTGATCACCCAGTGATCAATCAATTAGGAGTCTATACTTGTCAAGTGTCTGTTGTTAAATACCATCTCAAGGTCAAACAAGGCACCCTACTAGAGAAAGATGATTATGCCACTAATTTTGGTCTAAGCCTATATATTCTTGACTGGGTCAAAATGACAAATGTACATATGACAATGATTTATGTACCTGATTACGCGGTTTGTCAATTACAGCTTCACAGTCATTCCACAATCTCCACACTTACGTAACTAGTTATGCAAACATATACAGAGAATGCATATGTATCTGAATTGAATAATCATAGAATATCAACGAAATACTGATTGTTAAAAAAAGTATCCAAAATAAAATACAACAAATTAGTTTATTGTAAAACATCCACATGTTGATCCTAAACAAGAAGAGGATCTCTAAAATGAAGAACACACGAAGTGTGTAGTGAATATTTGGTAAGAATAAAACAACCAAAACCTTGTAAGTTGCATTAGATAAATTAATAATGCTGTCAAATGATCTGGTCAATCATTTATCATAATATATTTAGCATTTAAACGTAATACAACAATATCGTCAATATGGCAGGTTTTGAATTACCTATCTGATTGTTGATATTTAGAAGTGAGTTTTGATTAGTCTTTGCTAGTAAATATGTAAATTGCCTTTATATTCCAATGTTCCAACCATTTGAGTTTGGTGAAGCCTCACTCAGTAAAGTCGATAGGCTTATGAACCCATCGCGTAGACGTGATTTCGTGTAAAAATCATTGGTAGTAAAATTCGACTCAAAGTCTTCATGTGTTGCCACAGAGTAGTCAGGGTAACCTTGCTAGTAAATTTGGGTGGTCAGCGGAGATCGGACCAACCTACCAATCTGCCCGATGTGTATGCTTATGTATATGAATTAACGAGTCTCGGTTTGTGTGGTTGTGTATGTAGGTATATGCAAAGTGTACGCGCCAGGTTCTCAAGAGGAACGTAAGCTGAAATGTCTGCCATATGTCCAATAAAATCATCGGCATAAACCATCAGGTTGAAGACATAATAATGATATTAACTACTCTGTTATTAGTTTTTTTCTAGAATAGGTAGATAGTGTCTAGAATTGGAATATAAGTCAAGTGTTTCGTCCTATCCGGACTCGTCATCTGAATTCATTTGTATCCTTAGTGTTGATGTTCACGTTGGGACGGACGCAAGTTACTCATATATGAGTCCTAATGCGATCGTCAACATTCGGATCCAGGTACATTTTTAGTTGCCCTGCCTAACTTCATAAAATAACGATAGTGAAGTACACTTCCTTAATTAATTTCGTATATATATAACTGACTGGTGATTACGCAATAAAATAAGTCGAATACAAATCAACAGGTAGGTGATGGAGAATGGATTCCACTAGAAAAGGCATTACCACCAGCCAACTCAACAAAATAAGTTTTCGTCGCAGTCTATATGGTTTACATAGAGTACTATAGGTAAATAAATACAGACAAGGTAATGAACCTAGATAAAGTGTTACGATTAATTATATGTGAATGCGTATAACATAACAGATATGGTTATAATTACGCGTGAAAAGGTCAGATAAGTTCACACAACAGTTTGTATCTATCTGTTACACCAATTCGCTATACAATTGGATTGAGTGTTTAGTATATTTTAAATGAATAAAATCTCACTACACACTCAGCTGACGAGTTCTTGATGGGACGAAACACGTGTCCTGGATTGCATATACTAGCCGTAATCTTTATTTATTTTAAGTAATAGAACAACTTTTTTTATCTAATCATACAGTTTAGATGTTTACATTTCCATCTGTTTTGTTTAGTTGGACACATACACGTTGGTTACATCCAGATTCATCGATACTACGAAGTTTTTTACTTAGTCAATTAATACTAGTCTGGCAATTGGCTGAATTGAATTCATTCTTTTTAAAGCATATATTTATTGTTAAACCAAGTCATATTTTAACACAATTACGCCTACTTTTAATTACATGTATATCGGCACCAGCTATAAGGTAGGAGTATTGTCATTCTTGTTATTACTATCCATTTTTATTATTGAATTTTGTGTGTGTGTGTGCGTGTCAGTGATTAGTTTTACATCACTCATATTCTATATTTACTTACTAAAATTGACTCATGTTGCGGATCTATTCAAATGATGCGATACAAAGAAGATGAAATATGCTTGTTAATTGTTAACCATTAAAGATTAGTTGGTAGTTGGAAGTGGAGTTCAGAACCGACTTTTCTTCCTATTTGGGACTCGTTAACTGGATGTACCTGCCATTGTTGATGTCCCAAATAGGATGAGTCTCGAGTCCTGTATTCCACTACTAGTCGCTATCCTGTATCTGCTTGAAAATGTTTGCGTTCTATTGATAATTACAATTATGAATTCAGAAATTCAAGAAAATTGTCTCAAATATCTGTAAAATGAGCCTTTTATATATTTAATCGGTAATGATATTAATATTTGGTAGAAATACTATCAATAAAACATACTTGGATTTTGTCACACACCATCAGCATATTAAGACCTACTACTGCAAATACTGCCTTCACCTCGATTTGTTGCTGCGTATGAGATAGAAGACATGAGTCGTATACGAAGTCTAAATCATCTATCTGCATCCAGGCTGTCTGGAAAGAACAAGAGGAGGCAGCCTTGTTTGACACCGGTCTTCACTTGGAATGCATCCGTGAACTGCTCTCCACACACGACTTTGCAGTGTAGTCCGTTGTCAAAATTCCGTATAATGGTGACAATCCTCGCAGGTACCCCGTAGTGTCGAAGATTCCATAAAGTTTTCCTGTCTACACTGTCAAACGTTTCTTCATAGTCAAGGAGGTTGAGTTCCATTCAACTGATCGTTCAACAATAACCCCTAATATCGCGATCAGGTCGATGCTTGATTGACCCTTGACTGATCGCTCTGGCTTACTTTATCTTCCTGCTAGCTTCGTTCTATCTACCTGTCTTATATTTCCTTCTCTTGGAGCTTTTCCCGCTGTCGTTGCTAGGTCTTTCACATATTTTCATTTATCAACTCTAATGTTCCCCTTCACTCGACCTATTTCTTAGTTTTCTCTGCTCTTGTGTGTAGTTAGGTGCCGGTCACTCGGCTGTAATTCACACAATTATCGTAATTAATGATTTAAGATGTTGAGGGACATCGTTCAAAATTGGTCACAATGGTGCAGGTGCATCCATTCTCTATCTTCCATTAGATCTTGAAGTTTAAGACACCTTTTACCTTCTCATTTCAAAAATTCATCTTTTTTTCCTCTCAAGTTATCTGTAAGCTTGTTACCACTTATATTACTACTACTACTCTAGTCTCCATCTCGATCATTTTATCTCATTGTTTTATTTAACGACTTGAATTGATCATATTTATGTTAAATTCTAGGTTGCTATGACTAACTTCCGGACCCCCATCAACGAATTCACCACTCACATTTTATCCTTCTTGATAAAAGCTGTTATCTGAAAAAAAAGTACTGTGTTTCAATACTGATCTTCTGCTCTTATGTAATTTGACTTTAATGTTAATCACTTAAAATGTCAGAATATTATACACAAGTCTATTACTTACCTATTTACTTACGCCTGTTACTCTCAATGGACCACAGGCCGTCGACCAGCATTCTCCAACCCACTCCTTATAAATATCACTTTGTTTAGCACGGATGATATAAGGATCAAAGTGTTTCATTTGTTGTTATATTTAAGATAATCTGTGTACAATATAAATTTGATAATAATTACCTTAATGGTCATTTATATTATTAGTACATTACATTATATTAATTGCTATAATTGACTTCTTCATTTTATTGGTATATTTAGACAATACTACTTATACGTCATTGATCCACATATCAAACGTGTTGGATCTCAACTATGGCTTTTTATGTAAGTTGTTGTAAATACCTTTTTTCTTGTCATCATTGATTATTCATGTACATTAAAGTACCAGTCTTATGATATTCACAACTGTTTACTATTGAGTTCAATATAATTCAACCCGTCATTCTGAATGAAGAACACAAAACGTGTTTTTTTCTTTAATGGACCCGCCAGGGAGCACCGTTCACTCAAGATTACAGGGATACCTTGCTGACGAGTGCCAAGTAGCACGGAACCCCGGTCCAGGGTTTCCTGTCGACTACCTCCAACCACCATCTAATTTCAATATATCGTGCACGCAGTGTCGACTCACTTAGACTGGTGGTCACAATGCAACATGGTCGATAGCATTCGATCTGCACTAAATAAGGACTTGACACGCATGACACTGATCACCACCCAGTGATCAATCAATTGTGATTACAATATTATTTCTTTCTCACCCTACATTATCTAAATTTTTCTAACAATTTTCCATGCTATTCTTATCTCAACAATGCCGATTCACAAAAAATCGTATAGGTTGATGAGCTTCATAACTTTTAAATGATGTACTCGCAAGTACAGTGTTGTAATAATATTTGAATTCCGTTGAAATGCCGAATCGACCTAAGCTAGATCACCATTAGAAACCTGGAAGCACTGGTCGCCATACTTTGAGACTCCCATTCAAAACATATCCACGATCCCACATTCACAAATTGAACCAACGACCTCCTATCACGCGTGCGAACAAATAACTTTTAGACTATCGAATCGGTATCCAATAGTGTTAATATCTAGCTTCAATGCAATTTAACAATCCCCATAAACCCATACTGAAAATTATCATTTTCACACTAGTGACTGATTTCGAGAAGTAATTCTCAGAGTTGTATTGAGAAGCTGAAACTAGTGGAGTTAAACCGAGTCATATGTTGCTGTAAATACCTTTTTTCTTGTCATCATTGATTACTTATGTACATTGAAGTAACAGTTTTATGGTATTCACAACTGTTTACTATTGAGTTCAATATAATTCAATCCGTCATTCTGAATGAAGAACGCAAAACGTGTTTTTTCTTTGATGAATACTGTCATAACTTTTGCTCCTGTCAATTATCATGTGACAAAATCGCCAATCAGAATACTGACTCATATGACCTTGTCCTTGTGCTAAGCCAATCACATGTCAAATAGCACTAATAGCCTTGTGTCAAATCTGAATCCTTATTGGTCCTTCTCGCCTAACTCTGCCGACTTGAGTCCAGAATATAAATATCAGCCTACACTGTATTTATCATGTATTTCACACATACAAGCAAATCAGACCGCATCATACCATAAAATAGAAAAGAACAAGCCAAAACGTGCCACAATGTGGCCTTCTCAATTGAAAATTTCTGATTGACTGAATATATGGCTGGGCGAGTACAACATATTAAATGAACATTAAAGGCGTTACTGATGTTGTTAGTCCGTTGTCTACTTTACTGTTATTTAATTAGTTGACTGTGTAGATGCATTCCATCATGTTCACACAGCTTCCTCTACTGTATTATATAAAATCGATTTCACTGGTACATCTCCATGTGTTCGATGGTAACGTCTCTGATTGTGACTCTTGGTGACACGGGATTAAAACCTCTAGGGAGGATCTGTCCCCTCAAGATCACTGGTACAACTTGCTAACGAATGCGAAATAACACGAAATCTAGGTTCACAGTTTCCTGGTAAATGCCCTCGATCACCACCATATATCTCAACATAGTGAACGGAATATGAAGTCGCTTAGACTAGTAGCTAAATCGCAACTTGGTTAGAACTAAGAAGGATTTGAAATACATGACATTGGTCGCTACCCAGTGATCAATCCCTTGTAAATCATGCCATTTCAATTGTCATACTCTTGCTTTTACAATTTTAAGTCGAGAAAAGATCCAGTGGCTTGTATGGAGCATTTTTTATATCTATTACGGACTATAAAGATGTATATATGCAAACAGATAAACAAGAAATTGATCACTGAGTAGCAGTGATCATGGTGACAGAAAATATTATTCGTTGTTTATTCAAATAGTTCTATGACTAACAGTTTTAGTGGCTCAGTTTGTGTTTGCATTAAACACATTATATCTATGCTTATATAGATTCGGAAAAAAACTCTCATATACAGATCAACATTTGTTGAGTAGTGAAAAATCAGTATCATTCTTCCTTAGTCCCTTCCATTGCCGATCGAATACTATCAATCAAGTTCGGATGTGACCACTAGTCTAGGTGGTTTGACATCACATACACTACATTTAGATGATAGGCAACTGAAGGTAGTCTACAGGAAACCACACTCGACCTAGGTGTCATGCCATTTAGCACCCACTAGCAAGGTGTACCAGTAATCTGTGGAGAACTGGTGTCTCCTAAACCACGTCAACATGGCATTTGTCACTAATCAGTGATCAACAAATCGTAAACGTTCCTCATTTTTACAGAACGTTTCTCACAGTCTAATCGGATCAGTGGTAACCTATCAGACCATGAAGTTGGATGACCTGTGTTCGAACTTATCATAGGTGGACGACTCCCTAAACATTGTAGGTCCACTTGATTGTGATGAGTACCAAATAACAGGAAAGCTTAGATCCATTGTTTCCTGTCGACTATCTCTGACCATGTAATAATTTGTTCATTCCTTTCATGATAGTACAATACCACATTTTCAGTATATTTCTTCTAACATGTGAATCAATATTATTGATGTTTGACTCTCATGTACTTTAAAATATCTAGTTGTGTTACGAGAAACTTATTACTGAATCCAACTTATTATTATTATCATTACAGTGCAATAATTCTTACTGAGTTATTAGTTTGCTTAAAATTGGGTAGTGAAATATTTGAAAATACGGTCTTCTGGAATCTCATTTACTGGGGTATATGGATGGTAAGTTGTTGAACTTTTGTCGTAAAATAAACTATCTAATTGGTTTTCATTTTGTTGTTGTTGTTGTTGATTAAGCTGAATAGATACCTCTTGAGACATTAGAAAGAAAGTATGCAAGATTGGTTCAGCGAAGATTTACTTCTCTTTCCAATGAATTCGCTTTCAAACTTGTACAATCACAAATATATATTCACTTTTCAAAATTATAATCTGTTTGGTAGGCCGACTCGAGAAGACATACAAAGCCCAGCTTATCCTATGAATATCGAATTTAAAGGAGATACACCTGTGAAATTCTCGAATAAAAGAGTTTCGAAATCCCTGAGGAAAGCTTTCTACTCGGTTAATCTTCGTATCGTCTTGTTAAGTGTTAAGGAGAAACTTCTACGTTTTACCCCTTAACCAACTTATTTCTATTTTCCTACTCTTTTTGACCACAATTCATCTCAACTTCAACATTTCGTCTCATCACGTTATGCAATCTCCCTTCCACAACTATTAATTGTTATGTATCCTCATGATGAATATTCGAGTTCACAGCAACTAAATTGTCATGAAGTGAATAAAATTTTTGTGTTTTTCTTTACTCTACATCACGGTTACCATGTTTGATTAATTTATCATTTCATTGAAATCATGAACCGATCTAGGTTAGACCAGTATTGAAAACCTAGAAACACAGGACGACCATAAGATGGTCGTGCAAAATCGTGGATTAATTAAAGTTAGGCATTGGAACTGTTGAATGGGGACTCAATAATCTCGAGGCTAAGTATTTGTGAGTGAGTGAGTGAGTGAGTGAGTGAGTGAGTGAGTGAGTGAGTGAGTGAGTGAGTGAGTGAGTGAGTGAGTGAGTGAGTGAGTGAGTGAGTGAGTGAGTGAGTGAGTGAGTGAGTGAGTGAGTGAGTGAGTGAGTGAGTGAGTGAGTGAGTGAGTGAGTGAGTGAGTGAGTGAGTGAGTGAGTGAGTGAGTGAGTGAGTGAGTGAGTGAGTGAGTGAGTGAGTGAGTGAGTGAGTGAGTGAGTGAGTGAGTGAGTGAGTGAGTGAGTGAGTGAGTGAGTGAGTGAGTGAGTGAGTGAGTGAGTGAGTGAGTGAGTGAGTGAGTGAGTGAGTGAGTGAGTGAGTGAGTGAGTGAGTGAGTGAGTGAGTGAGTGAGTGAGTGAGTGAGTGAGTGAGTGAGTGAGTGAGTGAGTGAGTGAGTGAGTGAGTGAGTGAGTGAGTGAGTGAGTGAGTGAGTGAGTGAGTGAGTGAGTGAGTGAGTGAGTGAGTGAGTGAGTGAGTGAGTGAGTGAGTGAGTGAGTGAGTGAGTGAGTGAGTGAGTGAGTGAGTGAGTGAGTGAGTGAGTGAGTGAGTGAGTGAGTGAGTGAGTGAGTGAGTGAGTGAGTGAGTGAGTGAGTGAGTGAGTGAGTGAGTGAGTGAAAGCGAAGTCCTGAGTTCTATTCTCGCATATGTGGTTGTAGATGAGCAAGCTGAAGAATCACACACTAGGACAAACGAACCTGTCTGGTACTTCCAGAATTTCAATGGTTATCTAACTTAGTTCAGTTTGTGTTCTCATCAAGAATCTATTGTTATTTCTCTTATTGACAGAAAGATAATCGACTAATATTTATCTACGATTGTATATCTTTAAAAAACTGTTCACCGAAAAGCGAACTATCTCTTTGTGAAACCAATCTTTCTTGTTTTCCTGTTTTAGGGAAACGTAACCGGTTACTTTTTCTCTCAAAATTCAACAGTTTTTGTTAGCTGTAATTAGTTGTAACTGTATAACCAGGTACCAACTGTTGCTGTGAGATCTAGTCTTTAAAAATAGGAGCCATATGTAGGCTCCAGATAACCCGTAAATTTTTTGTGTATTTAATACTCATTATTACTAATTACCTGCCTAGATCATCAAAATAAATGAAGCAGTGTTTTGTATCTTTGAATACATTCGATTTAATTATTAAACCACTGGTAACTTAAACCTCATCCCGTCTTTTATTTTTTGCAAACTTTAATTTCACAGAGCAAAGTTTACCTAAAAGCTAGGTAATTTTACCGTTTCTTCGCAGTACCCATTTCATTAACATAAATTGCATCCTGTGATTGGGTGTTAAAATCTGATTGGGCGATTTCATAGTCGCTTCGATGATAACTCACGGTCGTCGACACAGTATTACGCCTTTGCACCTAATATTAATGTAAACTTATCCATTCACTAAATGAATTATAACTAAACTTTGATATAGGGATAAGTGAATCAAAATCGAAATGGCTTCAAGAGATTTTTGTGTGTTCAGAATGTAAAATTCCATGAGATTTATCTTACATCGCTCTATAATACTCAAATTGGCTAAAATTATTAATAGAACTTATTTTTTATGTTTATAGATTACACTTGACATTGTAAAACACGTCAAATTCTATGGCATCACAGAAGTATATGTTGTTTCGCGTCTCCGGGATATACAGTAGGATAACACTATAACTCGATATGCTAGATATGAATTGGATCACGTTATATACTCATTCTAGACACGATACACAACCAACGAATATGACACAGATGACTAGTTAGACAATAGTTTATTTAACATGAGTACCGGCAGTTCACACATATAGAGTGGATTCCACAGTGAAAGCCAAAGTTGAAATCAATCGTAGAAAAAAATCACAATATTGAATAGTGTCATGATATTGAACAAAGCTTTGTGTCTGTTTCCCTTTTTTGGGTTTGAGAGAACTAATAAAACTACCCGGTTGCTTGACAAAAGTTGGTGGAGCGGCATTTGAACCTGGGGCTCGGTGGCTGAAGGTCGAACTCCCTAATCTTTAAACCACTGCAATAGCTTAGTGTTTGAGGCGTTCAACTTTTTCAGCCCTATCATATCACCAGCATTACATAAACAAACATTCTTAGTTCAGCTTTATGAATACAAACCTATACTTGGTAAATAACTTCAACTAAAATAGTTCGCAGTGGATAGATCTCACAATAATCTTTTAACAATCTAGTGCTCGTCGCGAATCTTGAAACTTTTGAGTTCAACCTTTTCATTTGCATTGTAATTTGAAGCTAAGTATATGAATTTTTATCTGATGAGTGGGTGATAATTAGTCATTATCATTAGATACAGTCTATGTAGATAACGCTTTCTAAATCGTAAGCACCAGTGGCCTTTTGTTAAAACACTCTAATTTCAACCACCGAGCTGTGAATGCTAACTACACCCCAAGTGCTTAAGTTTCAGTAACCGTGTAGTATCACTCAACCCTTACACATACACATGAAGTGTACTTCAAAGTCATTATTAACTCAGTAAAATCAGACCCCCTATAATTTTAGACACCCCTTGGTAAGAAATACCACCTAGTGTGAAACCGGGATTATATAGAGATAGATATAATTATTTGATTACCTCATTAAACACAAATTCTTACAATTTCAACATTTACTCAAATTCATTTTCATAAATAGTTCTTTAAGTGTTCCATAGCGGACAGAATCAGAGATAACTGTAATGACATGCTTGAATTGTGTACACCAACACTGGTCTGTTATAGTCCCCCCAACTACTCTAGAAAACAAATTTTATTAAAATAGATTATTTACAAGTGATCAATGTAGATTAAATTTACATTCAGTTGTACATCAATTAATTTCGTTTAAACACACAATAACAATGAATTAATGAATACAATGAAATGTTTTTGATTGAGATCATCAACCGATTGATGTTAGACCACCATTGAAAACCCGGAAGCATTGGAAGGCCGTTTCGTCCTATTGTAGGACTCCTCAGCAGTGCGCATCCACGATCCTGATCGCAGGTTTTGAACCCATGGGCTTCATTCTCGCGCGCGAACTCTTGACCTATTGCACCACTGAATCGGCACCCAATGGTGTTAATGTGTAACTCCAACCAATCCACGAAATTGTGTGACGATCTTCCATTGTACTGAGGTAGATATCTGTCTCTACCTGACACGGATCAGCTCCTTTGATTACGGCTTCTCGCTAGAACTCCGAGAATTCCCTCACGTTGCTAGTCACTAGTAAGCATATGGTAATTATCATTATAGAATTGTGTAGATTATTAAGTTTTTGATTGAGATCATGAACCGACTGATGTTAGACCAACATGGGAAATCTGGAAGCACTGGACGACCTTTTCGTCTTATTGTGAATGAATCTGCTTGACAGGATGTCTTAAGCTTTAGATTTTATACACATTCGTTTAAACCGTATTATCTGACATCAGTATCGCTTAAATTTGGTTTATTCCAATAAGAACAAGTTGCATAATGGAGAGCTTCAGAAAGGCATAGATCATTAAAAAAACTAGGTGTTCTACTGATATCACCAACCGATCAAAGTTAAACAACTACTGATAACGTGGAAGAATTGGACAGGCGGTCCGTCCTAGTATAAGACTCTTCATCGGTGCACATCCAAGACTCGCACTCAGGAATTAAACCCAAGGCCTTGTCTTCGCGCGTCAACGCTTAACCTCTGGACTATTGAGTTAGGGTCTAATAGAACTCGGTAATTCCCATAACCGTATACTGATAAATGGGAGTTCGTTTTAAAATCACTGAATTCGGTATTGACCATAGTTACAATTGTCGGGGAAAAAAATTTGCAATTAATTAATGTTAGTAAAATTGTGATTGTACGTGTTCTTTTTTTACACTAAATTATCTGAGTACATTTCCAAATTAGTGTAGTGGTAGTGTTGAGTTCTCCTAGTTAGACAATTTAACTAGGGAACTTTCATTGTCATTCTAACTGTATCATATTGATCTTTATAGGTTTTGTCCTCTTAATTTACCTTTACAGTCATGTTGACCATTTTCGTTGATTGACCTCTTAGTTTATGATCAATTAACCTTTACTTTATTTATTCATAGATTGGGTCAATGTTGGCATGTTCATTGATCGCTAATTGATCTAAATGTCATGACCCTAGAAATTCTTTGAGACCCAAGTGATACTATTTATATATATTTATATTGGAAGGTAATGAGCTACATTGTAGATAAATATTCTCTTTATGCTACATCGGAATGAAATTAGATTACATAATCGAAAAGGTAATAGGGGTGTTGATGTTTTTTAACAGTGAAATGGCTAAATTACCAACAACAACAACAACATAAAGTGGATATTTAGAAATGTACAAACTATCATACAATGAAGTGTAGATTGTGCACAATCGTGCGAAATATTAAATTCACACAGTTTGTACCACCAGGAATCTAACCACATGTAAAAAGAATAACTAAACTGGTTAATGAAAATGATTTTGAAAATAGACCAATGCTTGACTTTATAAACTAGGGGATTAAAATGGCTTCATGCCTTTCTTTCTACTAACTAATTCTTCCTTCCTGTACTATATCCTTATATGCAATCTTTCTTTTATCTATTACCACCACTACTTCTATGAATCCGATGTTCATCTTGTTTTGCTAATGAGATATAGCAACTTGAACTGATGCATATATATGCCTGGTCCTACGTTGTAGATGACTGACGGCTAACGTTTTACGTGAAAAAGCACACAATTTGAAAATGTAAATAACATTCAAATATTTGATGGAGTTTTGTTCTCTGAGCTGGATCACTTGGTCGTAGAACTTTCATCGTTCTTCTGAGCGACATCAAAAATCATCCACCTGAGCTAAAAAATCTTCCCCATTTCAACATTCAAATATATATTATTACATTCAAGTTGTCTTCGTTACAGTTGTCCCCTTCACTCATTTTTACTTAACTTTGTTATAGAAATACTTTGGAAGATGACTTTCTCGTTGTCTAACTTTTCAGGAGTCGATCTCCCGAAAGGAGATTCACTACTTGGCCTAGAATATACAAAAAACATAGCCTTGTTTAATGAAAACACTGAAAAAAATTAGAATCTTCATACTGATTTAAGCAATAACGCTAACATGTTTAGGATGCGAATTTCTCCCTACAAATGCAAAAGGTTGGCTTTGGATTGGCTTGCTTCAAGACCTAATATAAGGATATAAATTTAAATAGTTGACTATGACAATCACTTCACTTATATGAAGATTCTCATCAACCCTAGAAGGCGAACATAAATTCACAAAGCATAGTTGGTATCTACCAATTCCCCTCAATTGTGTCATAAGATATTAATTTGCTAACTAATTGAGGAATTTGCTGCTCAACAGCAGTTCATTTCCTTCTACTTTATAGCTATGAAACGTGATCACTAATAACAGAGGATATTCATAGTCTACACTCCGTTTGTCTTGACATTATTATTAAATCGCACTTTCAATAATGAATTGTGATTTAATATGTTTAGTAAACCAATGAATTAGTGATTTTAATTTATTTCATCCTTAAATCACACTTTACGTTGCTATCTTGTTGGAAGATACCTTCAAATTCATGGATATTTATCTGTTTTTCATTAATTCGTCAATTTTATTATCCATGCAAGGTATTCAGTTCCTTTTTAACTGTATGGATTGGTCGATATTTGGCGAATGGTCATTCGTCTAAAAGGTTACCATCGTTGTCATCAGATAATCAGGAGAATATCAATCAATCATCGTGTATGAATTCGAAGGAGAATTCTAAAGTAAGTAGTTTTGTTGAAGTCTATCATTTAATTGAATATCCTTATATGCCATATTGATTACTGTATGTATAATAAATTTGTTATAAATATTAACATAATCTAATGGTTAGGCCCGTTTATTGCGGCGAACAAAATGGTTGCAGAATCAGATGAATTCCAATGGTGAAATAACATCACAGGATAGACAGACATCATCATCCATTGCGAAACATTTGATTGAGACGGGTCATAAGGTTGATATCAAATCAGCATTTGTTGTGTTGTACAAAAGCCTTCAAGGACGTGTACTAACGTTTATTGAAGCCTTGGCTATAGGAAAATTGAAACCCCCTTTATGTGTTCAAAAATAATTTGTGCTTACACTTAACCTACTCTGGTAGTACTGATTTACTATCCAGAGTGGTAATCACATTTGTTTTTGTGCACTTTATTACTTTTCCTTTGTTATGACTTACTCTTAACCTGTCTAGTTGACCTTTTAATTTTCATATATAAATGTTCTTAACAAGTATATGTGTGATCAGATTGTTTGAAATGTATTGCGCAAATATATCACATAATTCTGATAAACTACGTCTTCTCATTGCATTATCGAAATTTATCTAACGATGTCTAACTCAACTAATCCACGAAATTGAGCGACATATCCACCATTATCTTCAGTGAGTTACTATCTCACAACAGACCTGGTTGAACTCCCCTGATCACTACTTCTCACTAGAACTCTAGAATATACCTCGTGAAGCCAGTCACTAGTGAGCATATGTTGATTAATATCAGATGGGTTTTTTTGTAGAGATTGTAGTAATTTCAATGGTTAAGATCATGAGTCAGTTAAAGCTAGACCACCATGGAAAACCTGGAAGCACTGGACGGCCGTTTCGTCCTATTGTGGGTCAGACATTAACACCGTTGGATGCCGGCTCAGTGGTCTAGTGGTTAAGTGCTCGCGCGCGAAACCAGTAGGTTCTGGGTTCGAATCTCTCAGGGGGCGAGGTCGTGGATGCGCACTGCTGAGGAGTCCCACAATAGGACGAAACGGCCGTCCAGTGCTTCCAGGTTTTCCATGGTGGTCTAGCTTCAACTGACTCATGATCTTAACCATTGAAATTTATTTATTTATTTGAACACATAAATATTGGTACAAGAGAGCGCCAATATATATGCGCCATACAAAACAATGAGAATTCGAAAAGAAAGTAAAAACAAGGTAAGGCGTGTAAAAAAAAGAGAACAATACCGAAGAGGTTGGTGTAAGGTGGTGTAGTAATAATAATAGTAATAATGAGGGAACGGAAAGGTACAATCAGAAGAAATCTTTCAGTTAAGGAAGACACAACCACTTTTTATGAAGAAAGTAAAAGAAGGTTACAGCAGGATTGCCACTAGCTACTATTCTGAGCCATATCTGATAACGTCTCTAGCCACTGTGTAGCACCATCTCTAGGACCCCAACCAGGGAGTCGTGAAGGACCAACAGAAGCCAGTCCTGTACATCTTTCTTTCATACCACGACACTATGTCATGCACTGACCACTTCTCCGCTTCTTCCAACCAGTCCCAGAGTCAGTCGGCAAATAATGCACGACGTGGAATTCTCTGGGACGACATTCGTAGAAAATGTCCAAGCCACCGAAGTCGGTGTTCCAAGATGGTGACATCAATTGCATTATCATCTCTGTGCCCGAACACACGATGCCGAACCTCTGCATTACTGACATGGTGTTGCCACTGGATGTCAGCAATCCTTCGGAGACAGCGATGATCGAACACAGAGAATCGTCTAACATCCTCAACTCGAAGAGGTCAGGTTTCACAAGCATAGAGCAAAACTGCTCTCACCGACGCGTTGTAGATCCGACCTTTTACAGCCAGACTAACATCACGAAGGCGCCAAAGGTGGCCCAGATTGGCATAAGCCGCTCTGGCTTTCACTATACGTGCATTGATCTCATCACTCACACCCCCACCAGCACTTATGCAGCTACCCAGATACACGAACTTCTCGACTACTTCTATCTGCTCACCATCCAGGGTGAGTACAGGATTAGAATCCTGCCAGTCTTGTAGAAGTACTTTGCACTTCGAAGGTGCAAAGCACATACCATACCTACGGACACCGATTGCCAACTGATTAAGTGCGGATTGCATGGCTTGAGTATAGTCGCACAGTAAGACAATATCGTCCGCATACTCAAGGTCGAGAAGTCTTTCTCCAGGCAACAGATCCACACCACCATTACTTACATCCATCAGAGCTGTTTCCAGAATGTCATCGATGGCAAAGTTGAAGAGGAATGGTGAGATTGGGCAACCCTGCCTAACTCCACTGCTCGAATGGAACAATGGAGAGAGGTGGTTGTATGCCCTCACTCTGCCTGAGGTGTTTGTATATAGGGCTTTTAGGATGTTAATAAACTTCTCAGACACACCCTTATTCAATAGACAATCCCAGAGAACAGTCCTATCCAACGAATCGAAGGCAGCCCTGATGTCAAGGAACACTATGATTGTTGGCCTTTGATAAGTATGTCGGTGTTCTAACATTTGGCGGAAGGTGAAGATATGATCAATACATCCTCGACCAGAACGAAACCCAGCCTGCTCCTCGCGAGTCAATCTTTCTCGGGTTTTGAACAACCTACGAAGTATGACGGAAGCCAATAGCTTGGACGCAATCGGAAGTAGACTTATCCCCCGATAGTTGTTACAGGAACAACGTGAACCCTTTTTAAAGATAGGGACAACTATCGACTCATTCCATGACGTTGGTACACTCTCTAGTTCCCAAACCTTTGTAAACAACGTCGTCAATTCCTTAGTCAGAAAGTCACCACCATCTTTAAAAAGAGCCGGAGGTAAGTCATCTGGGCCAGGTGATTTGTAACGCTTCAAGAGTTGGAGTTCCTTGCGGACTTCCGCCTCATTTGGTGGATCAGTCGTCACCGGCCATGGAGGGCAGGACAGTCTGACCGATGTTGCCGGAGCAGCAGGCCAGTTGAACTGCCCTTCGAAGAATTCTGCCCATCGTCCAAGACGTCGATGGATGTTAGTGATTGGCATCCCATCATCCTCGCAGATTGTTTCACTCACACCAGACTTCTTGCTGCCAGTGGCTCGGATGAGCTGGAAGAGCTTCCGGTAGTTACCAGATGCAGCTGCTGCTTCCAGCTCATTAGCACGCATCGACCACCAGGCTTCTCGGTCCTTACGCAAGCTTTGCCCGATTTCATTACGTAACATCCTTCGTTTGTGGTCAAACTCACGGTCACCTGGAGTAGACCGACGGGCTTCAATGAGTTGTAGGAACCTGAAGAAACCCAGTGCTTATAAGCGGGACGTTTCGCAAACCCACAACTGACTGTTCCCGCCATTTTCATGGCGTCATGCAATTGCAACCAATGCTCATCTATACTTTTCGGTGGAGTGGTAGCTAGCCTAGAAACTAGCTCGGTTCGATACTTACTAGCAACAGAAGTTGCAACCAGCTTGCTAACATCAATCCGTTGGTGGCAGTCACTTCGTTGTCCACTGAAAAGTAAGGTAAGATTGGCGCAGACCAAGGCATGGTCAGAGTCCAGATAGGTACTCCAAAAGGAGCGGCAGTCTTGTACACAACCACGCCAGCGGTAGCTGATCGCGATGTGATCAATCTGAGTCCAGGCTTGGGATGCAGAGGGAGGACGCCAGGTGGCACATCGGCGATGACTGTGCCGAAAGTTAGTGCTAGCCAGAAACAGGTTGTGGTCTGTGCACAGTTGCAGTAGACGGTCCCCGTTATCTGACCTGCGACCAACGAGTCCCCATCGGCCGCCTAAACGACTCTCTTCTGTGCCTAGACGCCCGACCTGAGCATTCAAGTCTCCGGCTAGTACTACAATATCTGTCGAACGCACTTTCTGGAGAAGAACAGATAACTGGTGGTAAAACTCGTCCTTGATTGCATCCGGGCTGCAATCTGTCGGGGCATAGGCGGAGATGACGAAAAGACATCGTTTCTCACGCCGATTCTTCTCGCTTTGATGGAACTCTCTAATCTAACAGCACATAACCGACTGTTAATGGGGATCCAATCGATTAGTGCTGCCTCAGCTCTAGCGCTTAGTGCGACACCAACGCCAGCAAGACCAGACGAAGATGCCACAGGGTCCCCGGATAAGCGCACGTAAAACAAGCTTTTCGAAGCGACAGATGAAGAGCGAATTTGTAGTACTTCACCAGAGTCTTGAATACGGGTCTCGAATAGACAACAGACATCAATATTAAGACTTTCCAAAGACATAGCCAGCCCTATCTGTTGTCCAACCTGCATAAGTGTGCGAACGTTGAAGGCAGCCAGTTTGAATGGTGCACGTGGTTTCAGAAAAACTGCTTCAGTCCTCGTATTCGGTGGTAACATACAATTTTCAAACGGATAGTGACTCGAGAACGTTTAGATACAGTCGAATTTCCACCAAAGACGAGCTGCTGTATAAGTATAAAAGAGGGTGAATAATGTGGTAAATAACAATAATAATAATAATAATAATAATAACAATAATAATAATAATAATAATAATAATAATAATTCGAATCATTTGATTGTTATTCGAAGCGAGAAAAGTAGTTTCCATAGATACAGAGTTCATCGTTTGCGCGTGGGCTGCGATACTGCCCGGGTGCCCAGACCGAAGCAGGTGGTTATCTTAGGGGGCCACACCCCGAGCCTTTGACCTAAAGGTCTAACCCACAAGGCAGTGGAGCATCGTAAGGAGATGCAGTTCCATGGTAGCCGGTGACAAACGATTGGTTCGTACGCCATTTGTTCCCGCAGGGTACTGGAGCCCATGTGCACCATTGATTTGGGATCCGGTTAAAGCGCCGGACATTCGCTTTTCGTCCTCTCATTTTCGTAAACGAAACCCCCGCCACGAGAAGGTAGTGAGTAGGACTTCCCTGGAAGAGGCTGTATACGCGTGGCTGTGTGAGAGTATTTCGGGAGGGAGAGCGGACTCGTCCCACTCTCGGACGTACCAGGGCATTCGGGGCGGCGAACAAAACAAGTTCCTTGAATTACTACCATGCTAGAGAGTTTGTCTGATGTGATTAGTCAGTCAAGCGCAACGTAGCATCTGGTACATGTATACCTCATCAGCACAGCGAGATGAAATTGTTAGGGTAAATCCCAGAGTATTGAAGGTAGTAACAGAAAAAATTAGGCATCGAAGATACGATTTGAGAAGAAAATATAAATTAAAGAAATGAGAAAAACTTTTAACGAATTGAGAAGCTTGGAATGTGGGGGGGGGGAAGACAAATAGTGGATGCACTCGAGTCATTAAGGACGATTCCCAATCCTGTCTCTTAATATCTCTAACCATTGGTTACGATAAGCGCACTGATCCACACTAGGTAGTCTGCAACTATATATATATATATATATCAGTCTAACAATAATTGTCTTCATGCACAGAAGCCATGTTTTGATTTTGTCACTCCTACATCAGTCATCATCACTCGTCGAAGTAGCAGACGGATTGGCACATGTAACACATATTTCAACCATTACAGTTGATAGAGATTTATTGCATCTTCAACTGACTTACCATACTTACCTAGTACTCTGCGTTTAACCTCATATAATGGCCAACTCGATGACCTCGCAATACACAAGTGATACTTCGAATGATCGAATGATCTATTATTAATAACCACGTTTCATAGCCATAAAGTAGAACGAAATGAACTGCTGTTGAACAGTGAATTCATCTTTTGGTTAGCAAATTAATATCTCACCTATGCCACATATTACCGCTTTGTATTAAGAGTTAAAGTGATAAGTTTACTGTTGAAGAATCATTCCATACTTTTAAATTCTTTAAGATAACATGATAATAATCTGTCCTTCATAGATATTTAACATCACCATAAATACTCCTTCCCTATAATAGTCATGATGAGAGGGTTAGTCATGGAGATAAGAGAGGTGTTAGGAGGTGTAGGAAGGATTTGAATGTGACCAACTTGGTCCCGTGTGCTGTTACGGGTATGAGGGCTGATGTCACTTCCCAGCTGCCCACACCGTGGAAGGGTATTTCTTGAGGAACCTGAAAAGGAAATTGGATTAGTGTTGGTCTTGACGACCTGGGAGCGTGACCGCAGAGCCCAAGGACAACTGCTTGAGGCCGGTCGCGCACGGCCTTTTTGTGGAAGGTTTTTGATGTGTTAGTTCCGTTCTTCAAAGGGCCTTACCGCCGGAGACGGAAATCCGTGAGGTAAGGTGAGGTGTGACAAAAATGTCGACATTTTCTAACCCCACCCCTCCTTGTGGGAAGGCAGCATCGCTGTCATGCTGGTTGTCCGAGGGAAACACCTTACTGCTGTCACACCTCCCTACAGTCAGCAGTACGACTTCGCCCTCAGACATTGAGTTACTGCTTTTAGTCTTACCGTTCACCAATCGACCTGCCTGGCATGGTAGAGCCTACAGGAAAATATGTTCCAGCCAATATAGCTCGGTTGGGTCATCACGATAGGCAAGCCCGACCACCGCGTCAAGGTAGCAGCTTCTGAATTCTACATGTCCCTTTCTTTTTTCTATTTCCAAATTCATTCTACTGGATTATACTTGTTGAATAACATCCCCAAAGCCTAATGTTTCCGATTACTGCTTATACTTTTACCGCCTCTATCACTACGGGATTTGAATCGACAACTGCATCTCTGTACTAATGTGGTATGGCAACTTGAACTGATGTACGTGCGTACGAAGTTCTACGTTGTTACTGATTGACTGACATGATGAGAGGTTGGCAAAGATCAAATGTTATTAGTTTTGTTACACATACGATGGTCATCTATCTTTCAGATGAAATTCAAATTCATAAACAAGATAACCGTCTTTGTTACCTTTACCAACTGAACATCAATAACAATAGTGTATGAATAGGTTTTCGTTCAATTTACGTCCATAAAAATGATATTTTCCCTACTTCCCTTTTATTTTTTTGTTTTTGAAAAATAGAATAATAATAATAATAATAACTTAGATAATAAATCACGTCAAGTGACCATATCAGATGATGTCATCACATTTGATAGATTATCACAAACAAGTACAACCCATTTATCATCGTTTTCGTCATCGATATCATCATCAATGACCAATATTTCTAATCATGTTAAAATCGAATAATACTACTTACTAATTATACATTAGTATTAATACTAATGGGTAATCGATAATCAGTCGGTGGTACGCATGCTGAGAGGAGGGGAGCGGTTGGTTGTAGCCAAGATGAATTCACTATTTTATTTTCTTGAATTTTTTTTCGTGAAATTTAGTTCGTAGTGATTGTATTATTATTGTTATTATCAAATGAAATATTAAGAACACTGTCAGTAACGATCAGTCATTGTACTGTATATGTGTATGTATTTGCATTCTTATTTCGCTTCTTTCCACTCTATTTACTCAATTTCATTTGCTATCTTATATTTAATCGTCCAAATATCGCTTGATAGTGGAATAGTTATATAAAGTGTTCAACGTTTTACTAGTAGATCAGAGGTTCGAACCATACCCTGCTTTCTTTGGGGAGCGATTCGAATAGCTCCAAGTAAAAAGTAACACTAGACCACACACACACACAAGTTCACATTTAATTAATAGCTGAAAATCGGGCAATCAAATGAATCTTGTCATATTTACCGAAATTTCATCAGTTTCACTTTCCCAATCATCAGTTAGTGATGAACACCATGCTTATCTTCAGTACTACTTTAGTCTTTGCAACAACCTGAATATATTTCTATGTATTTTTATACACATCAATTATACAAATGTCCATTTTAAAAAAAAAACAACTGGTCTGCATGATTTTAAATAGAGACATAATCAGAATGTTCAGTTACCTTTCGTCCTTCTCCTTCTCCCCCTCCTCTTCCTCTTTTTTCGCCCTTCTCCCCGTCCTCCTCATCGTTTTCTCAGTTATTCCAACTTTTCTCTCTTTGTCAAATGTATAATTCCATTTTATTGTTTGTTTATTTTTAAAGATCTTTTTTATGCTTTTTAAAGAAATTTTATTCCTCATCGAAAAAAACAACTTCTGATATACTCTTGTATAGTTTAATATGTTTCTTAACAATACCAACAACAATTATGTCCTATGGCTTCAATAGCAAACAGGAGTTAATTCATTTGTACAAAATTTAACTGATCAGGTGATATATTACTAAATAAAGTAATTGACAACCTTAACAAAATTGATCGTATTTATTTATTGTAGAATTGTTGTGATACATAACATAACATAATACTGAATTAAAAGATCACGAGTGGTGGTGATGGTCGTGATGGTGCTTAAAGGACTGGTAGACGTTAAGGTAAATGAATCATTAAAATCATGAACTGATCTAAGTTAGACCAATATTGAAAGCTTGGAACTACTGGATGGTCGTTTCTACTAAGTATGGCATTAGTAGTGCTCACCGACGATACCATACAACAAAAATCAAACTCAAGACTTCAGTTTCACTCACAAACAATTAACTTATTCAACAGTTTTAATGGGTATTTATTTATTTTAACACATAGATATTGATAAAAAGAGGCACCAAACACATATGCGCCACACAAATCTCATTTGAGGGCTGTGATACTGACCGGTGCCCAAACCGAAGCATGTGGTTTTGTTAGCGGGTCACACCCGTAGCCTTCGACCTGAAGGTCTGATCCACAATACAGTGGGGCAACGTAAGGAGATGCAGTCCCATGGTAGTCGGTGACCAACGACTGGTTCATACGCTATTTGTTCCTTTAGGATACTGGGGACCATGTGCACCATTGGTTTGGAATCAGGTATTCCAACTCCCAAGGTGAATCCTCCATATCCACCAACCCGGTTAAAGCGCCGGATATTCGCTTTTCGTCCTCTCAATTTCGTAAACAACACACCCGCCACGAGAAGGCAATGAGTAGGACTTCCCTGACAGGCTATATACGCGTGGTTATGTGAGAGCATTTCGAGCGGGAGAGTGGACTCTCGGCCGTACCAGGGCAATTGAGGGCCTAATGGATAAGGCATCTGACTTCGGATCAGAAGATTTAATGCCTAACTTCAATTAATCCACGATTTTGCACGACCATCTTACGGTCGTCCTGTGTTTCTAGGTTTTCAATACTGGTCTAACTTAGATTGGTTCATGATTTCAATGAAATGATAGATTTACCAAACATGGTAACTGTGATGTATAATAAAGAAAGTACACAAATATGTTATCCATTTCATTGACAATTTAGTTGCTGTGAACTCGAATATTCATCATGAGGATACATAACAATTAATAGTTGTGGAAGGGAGATTGCATAACGTGATGAGACGAAATGTTGAAGTTGAGATGAATTGTGATCAGAAAGATTAGGAAAATAGAAATAAGTTGGTTAGGGGGTAAAACGTGGAAGTTTCTCCTTTTAACGCTTAACAAGACGATACGAAGATTAACCGAGTAGAAAGCTTTCCTCAGGGATTTCGAAACTCTTTTATTCGAGAATTTCACAGGTGTATCTCCTTTAAATTCGATATTCATAGGATAAGCTGAGCTCTGAACTGCCTTCTCGAGTCGGCCTACCAAACAGATTATAATTTTGAAAAGTGAATATATATTTGTGATTGTACAATTTTGAAAGCGAATTCATTGGAAAGAGAAGTAAATCTTCGCTGAACCAATCTTGCATACTTTCTTTCTAATGTCTCAAGAGGTATCTATTCAGCTTAATCAACAACAACAGCAACAAATGAAAATCAATTAGATAGTTTATTTTTCGACAAAAGTTCAACAACTTACCATCCATATACCCCAGTAAATGAGATTCCAGAAGACCGTATTTTCAAATATTTCACTACCCAATTTTAAGCAAACTAATAACTCAGTAAGAATTATTGCACTGTAATGATAATAAGTTGGATTCAGTAATAAGTTTCTCGTAACACAACTAGATATTTTAAAGTACATGAGAGTCAAACATCAATAATATCGATTCACATGTTAGAAGAAATATACTGAAAATGTGGTATTGTACTATCATGAAAGGAATGAACAAATTATTACATGGTCAGAGATAGTCGACAGGAAACAATGGATCTGAGCTTTCCTGTTATTTGGTACTCATCACAATTACGTGTATCTACAATGTTTAGGGAGTCTTCCACCTATGATAAGTTCGAACACAGGTCATCCAACTTCATGGTCTGATAGGTTACCACTGATCCGATTAGACTGTGAGAAACGTTCTGTAAAAATGAGGAACGTTTACGATTTGTTGATCACTGATTAGTGACAAATGCCATGTTGACGTGGTTTAGGAGACACCAGTTCTCCACAGATTACTGGTACACCTTGCTAGTGGGTTCCAAATGGCATGACACCTAGGTCGAGTGTGGTTTCCTGTAGACTACCTTCAGTTGCCTATCATCTAAATGTAGTGTATGTGATGTCAAACCACCTAGACTAGTGGTCACATCCGAACTTGATTGATAGTATTCGATCGGCAATGGAAGGGACTAAGGAAGAATGATACTGATTGTTCACTACTCAACAAATGTTGATCTGTATATGAGAGTTTTTTTCCGAATCTATACAAACATAGATATAATGTGTTTAATGCAAACACAAACTGAGCCACTAAAACTGTTAGTCATAGAACTATTTGAATAAACAACGAATAATATTTTCTGTCACCATGATCACTGCTACTCAGTGATCAATTTCTTGTTTATCTGTTTGCATATATACATCTTTATAGTCCGTAATAGATATAAAAAATGCTCCATACAAGCCACTGGATCTTTTCTCGACTTAAAATTGTAAAAGCAAGAGTATGACAATTGAAATGGCATGATTTACAAGTGATTGATCACTGGGTAGCGACCAATGTCATGTATTTCAAATCCTTCTTAGTTCTAACCAAGTTGCGATTTAGCTACTAGTCTAAGCGACTTCATATTCCGTTCACTATGTTGAGATATATGGTGGTGATCGAGGGCATTTACCAGGAAACTGTGAACCTAGATTTCGTGTTATTTCGCATTCGTTAGCAAGTTGTACCAGTGATCTTGAGGGGACAGATCCTCCCTAGAGGTTTTAATCCCGTGTCACCAAGAGTCACAATCAGAGACGTTACCATCGAACACATGGAGATGTACCAGTGAAATCGATTTTATATAATACAGTAGAGGAAGCTGTGTGAACATGATGGAACGCATATACACACTCAACTAATTTAGTAACAGTAAAGTAGACAACGGACTAACAACATCAGTAACGCCTTTAATGTTCATTTAATATGTTGTATTCAACCAGCCATATATTCAGTCAATCAGAAATTTTCAATTGAGAAGGCTACATTGTGGCACGTTTTGACTTGTTATTTTCTATTTTATGGTATGATGCGGTCTGATTTGCTTGTATGTGTGAAATACATGATAAGTACAGTGGAGGCTGATATTTATATTCTGGACTCAAATCGGCAGAGTTAGGCGAGAAGGACCAATAAGGATTCAGATTTGACACAAGGCTATTAGTGCTATTTGACATGTGATTGGCTTAGCACAAGGACAAGGTCATATGAGTCAGTATTCTGATTGGCGATTTTGTCACATGATAATTGACAGGAGCAAAAGTTATGACAGTATTCATCAAAGAAAAAACACGTTTTGCGTTCTTCATTCAGAATGACGGATTGAATTATATTGAACTCAATAGTAAACAGTTGTGAATACCATAAAACTGTTACTTTAATGTACATAAATAATCAATGATGAGAAGAAAAAAGGTATTTACAGCAACATATGACTCGGTTTAACTCCACTAGTTTCAGCTTCTCAATACAACTCTGAGAATTACTTCTCGAAATCAGTCACTAGTGTGAAAATGATAATTTTCAGTATGGGTTTATGGGGATTGTTAAATTGCATTGAAGCTAGATATTAACACTATTGGATGCCGACTCGATAGTCCTAAAGCTAGTTGTTCGCACGCGTGACCGGAGATTGTTGGTTCAATTTGTGAATGTGGGATCGTAGATGTGTTTTGATTGGGAGTCTCAAAGTATGGCGACCAGTGCTTCCAGGTTTCTAATGGTGATCTATCTTAGATCGATTCGGCATTTCAACGGAATTCAAATATCATTACAAC